TAAACTAGCAACATGTTCCGTCACTCCCTAGTCCCGGAACAGCAAATCTTGTACAAAATAAAGTTAATATTGTACAAGTAGTGGCAGTGTTTCTTAAGTAAGGAATTGGGTGAAGTAAATGTACGTGATAAGATGTTCAACGAGGAGACGAGATCATGGCAGTGACAGAGGCTGAGTAAGACGGCTCAGTGATGTGTGAGGGATGGACGTGTCAGCCCAGGATAGTGTGGGTTTAGTGCTCCCGTACTCTGACGTGACCACCACAGTGAAGGGAGGTGAGAGGATAGATAGCAGGGAGCGGACGACGGGAGATGACAAGAACGTAGATGAAGGTTGTGACTAATAAGGAAGAGCTTCATCAGGATTGGATGATTAAAAGTGATGGGGTGTAGCGAGGATGACGCGAGATTTATAAAGAAAGTTATGAAGGTCAGGCTGAGGGTAGTTGAAACTGTGGCTGGCAGGGAGTGTGACGGACAAGGAAGGAGGTCATCAAGGTTTAGGTGACGAACACGAAAAACAAAACAAAAAATCCACCAGAACTCGAGTGTCTGGAGAAGGGAGAGTGACGTGGCTGACCAGGAGTGAATAAGAAGAAAGTAAGTCACAACACGGGGGAGAAAGAGCATGTATCATCTTCCAGTAACGGACAAGGAGTGGCCCTATCAGTGTCACTCATGAGTCAACGTGAGGGACACTCGGAGGCCCTCGCTACCAAACAACACCCAAGCCTCACACCCACACCAGCTGTGCCAACACCCTCACACTCTCTTTTTTTTTTCCATTCAGGGATCCACGTGTCTGTGATATATTTCCCGGGTGTCGAGTTTCCACAACACAGAAGCGACAAGTTCGTTGCTAATGAATACCCGCAGGAAAGATGTATAACTATTGAACCCTCGGCGAACGTTTATACTGGTCTTGGGCGACAGAGCCTTTTACAGAACCAATTTCTTTATGAAGTAATCCACGAGGACGATATAACATCTACCACCGTTAACAGAATTCACCAGGAAACACCAGAATACATTAAAAAAAAAAATAGACAGATAAATCCCCAAAACAGTTGAAATTCTTTGTAATCTGCCAAGAGTTTGTCAAAGATCTAATAGATTTTTACCATGACCAACCACGACCCCCTAGAGTCAACCCAGAGAGATAAATGACCCGTTAGAACACATACGACAGACAACGACTACTCTCCAGTCAAGTGGCCATACAATAAGAACGAGGCCTGGAAGTGTCAGCGGGAGAATTTTCATTTACGACAACTAACACCGTAGACGAGACACTGAGTTATAACGCCGCCTGAACGTCACTGGCCAAGACCTGTTTCACCTAAGACCTCACACTCGTACAAATACCGAGTCATATAAGCATAATACCTATAATACTGAATGGTTTGGGATGTTTCTAAATTCCTTATGTCTTTTCTTAAGGCAGGGGGATACGGTAGGTTTCATATATAGTTCACACGTATCTTGGTCTCATGAAGTTCTTCCCACACTCTCACACGATGGTTTTGTATATAATAAAACACTAAATTAATAAACAAAATCAAAATCATTGGTTTTCTTAAAATTAACAAAATAATAATAGCTTCAAATACCACAAAATCAAAACAAATGAAATGAATGCAGTTTGTTTACCCGAGTCAAATTACCATGTTAATGAATTGTGTCGAGTTGGAACAAAAACGTATTAATTCTAGTTCATACAGATTCTACTTATATAAAAGACTTAGTTAACCAGACCTGAAAAATAAACTTAAAATAAATTACTAAATATGAGAAAAAAAATGGATAACTTGATGTTGATGAAATCTTATTAAACCCAGTCTATAGCAAGGTAGACCTAACCTAACCTAACCCAGTCCATAGCAAGGTAGACCTAACCTAACCTAACCTAACCCAGTCCATAGCAAGGTAGACCTAACCTAATCTAACCTAACCTAACGATTTTTATGTATTTGGATGGTAGAGAGGGAACAGTGTGGTGGGGAGGGAACACTAGGTAGGGACGGAACCTGGCGGAGTGGTACAAGGGAGTCACACGCCGGAAGTATACAGCATGACATCACGCCCTACAATTAGCAATATATTGTACCCTTATGTTAGCGTGTGTGTGTGTGTGTGTGTGTGAAAGAAAGAGGTTTATAAATAACACCAAGGCAACTTTCAACCCACAAACTGTCTTATTAGATTTACATAAAAATAAGAACATTAGAATACCATTTTGGGGGAATGAATACCTGCCTCCCCCTCCTCCTTCCTCCCCCTCTCCCTCCATTACCCCCTCCAGCAGACGCCCATCAAGGTATGCGTAGTGATGTTTACGTCTCTAGTTCTCAATCACTCTCCCCTGATTGCTATCCACGCTCATGGTCTCTTGGCACGATAACCACCCACACACCCATGGTAGTTACCACCCACAACCACGCCCACGTTAGTTTACTTAACTACCAACACCACCCAGAACCACGCCCACTTTCACTTAATTAACTTCCAACACCACCCATAACCACGTCTTTTTGTTTAACAACTCACGCCCATACACATTACTATTGACACCGCCTGCACCCACGCCCACCTACCATGAGCCCTTAACTAGACCACTCCTCCACTCACATGTGAACGCCCGCAAGACCTCACCCACAACGCCCATCATGTCATGTTCCCTAATAGTTAGAGATCGTTTTACTTCCTCGAGTGCCAGGGAGAAGGGGGAGGGGTGGGGGAAAGGTCAGGGGTCAGGGGTGGCCCTTTGGAGGGGTGTGGTCGTTGGGAGGAGTGTGGTTTTTTTGAAGGGGTGTGGTCATTGGGATGGGTGTGGTCATTGGGATGGGTGTGGTCTTTTGAAGGGGTGTGGTCATTGGGATGGGTGTGGTCATTGTGGATGGGTGTGGTCGGGTTGGGTGTGGTCATGGGTTGGGTGTGGTCATCGGGTTGGGTGTGGTCATTGGGATGGGTGTGGTCATTGGGATGGGTGTGGTCATTGGGATGGGTGTGGTCTTTTGAAGGGGTGTGGTCATTAGGATGGGTGTGGTCATCGGGTTGGGTGTGGTCTTTTGGATGGGTGTGGTCATTGGGATGGGTGTGGTCATCGGGTTGGGTGTGGTCATCGGGTTGGGTGTGGTCATTGGGAGGGGGTGATTGGCGGAAAGGGTGTGTCCTGGGTAAGGGGAAGGCTGATGGGAGGTGGATTAGAGAGACCCAAAATAAGACCAGTTTAATTTTCCAGATACAAGTCAAATAAATAACTATAATACAAATAATATTTCCTCCTACGTACCAGACAACACACTCTGTCCTGGTCGACCTCAGTCACCTCCACCAGACCGAGTTATTACAGACAATTGAGGAATATGTGTCAAATTAATTAATCCCTCGGCTGAGAAACATTTCATAATCACGTATGTTATTTTCTCTGCCCTTGTTAACACCGAGACACAGTACAGGTCCACCATGCTTGCGTTCGTAGCAAGTCGCACGTCATCAGAATCCGACTTCATTATTTGAGGAACTTTGAGTCTTTAGTCAGGAGAGTATATGGTGGTTTGGAAATCTGACGAGTGGCATTTCCTACGAGGAGAAGAGGATGACTTGTAGACTAGGTGACGATGTTGTTTTTTAACATTATGATAACAAACCGTGATGATCGTAGTCCTCATGTTTATTGTTTTAGTGTAATAACTGATCTCAGGCAGTGGTACTAATTCAACATTATGTGAGGGCAAGGAAGTAAGTCCAAACAACTTCCACCGGCCCGGGAATCGAACCCGTGACATCTAGCTTACGTCAGTCGGCGGCGGTGAGGGGGATAACCTAACACCCGCAGCCTCTCACCCTCACCCACGACACACTCACCCTTAACACCTGGTGACTTAAGCCTCAGTGTTCCTTGTGGCCGAGCTGGATGCGGCTGCAAGATATTCTATTACAGTTTTGACGAAGTAAACGGTTTATGCGTGGTCGTCCTGCGCTGCTACCCTGAGGTAAACAAAAGGAGAGACGCCCTCTCTACCTCACCCTTCCTTCCCCCCTTCCTCACCTCCCTCCCTCACCTCCCCCCCCCCCTCTCTCTCCCTTCTTCCCCCACTTCCTCTCTTAGTTCGTATTAATAGACCTTACCTCCGTTCAGGGTGTGGGAAGGTCACTTGGGAGGTAAAATGAAGAGGTCATGTATATAAGCGTGAGGGAGGAGGAGGAGGAGTCGTACTTGCTAGGTACGACTGTAAATGTGATGGTGACACTTACACCACACAACAGTAATGGGATTAAGGCAGAGACGAAGAGGTAAGACAACCCTAGTACTGCCGACGATATTATTCCTAGTTGTTTTTATTTGGATAAGTGAGCGGGTGAATTAATAAGACCGTTAGTGTTGGTGAGTGAAGAGGAGGAGGCTTGTTAGTGGTGCTGGTGAAGGCTACTGCAAGAGGATACACCATTACTAACTAGGGTTCACGCTCAGCTGTCTTGCATTATATAGGCAAGAATATAATCAATCCTCTTAGGTCACTGGAGAAAGAAAATTGTTATGACATATAATATTTTTCAGCTTTTGGGGAGAAATAAACAAATAATATTACTTACAAAAGACACACATATGAGTCATCGTTGCAGAGACCTTGAAAACCCGGACCTAAGAAGGCAACACTGGTGAAGGTCAGGCAGTAATTATTTACCCAGGGGAAACCATGAACATACGTAAGCTATCTTAACATGTGTGTCTAGAGTGTACAGTAAACTCATCATCTAATAAGAGTAAGCTTTAATATGATCTAAATTAGTGGCGGTAATGGTAACCGATCTTAAGTGTCTAGCACGTGTAAGGTTAAGTGAGAATTAAAGTGATCTTTAACATGCCTTGAAAGAATGTATTGAATTTAAACTGAACTACAAGTGATCGAGGAAGCGTGAGCGGTAAGTAATGTAAAAACAACGTCGATTATTTCTTTATGTTAAGGAGTGTTGTGATGCCTGTAACTCTGTCTACAGATTGGGTGCAACAAGCAGCAGCAGGAGAGGACCGGTGAAGGGTGAGCCAGCGAGCAGTGGGAGGCGTGACGTGACGCTATAATACCCAGGAAGACAGGGAAGCCACCAGGATGGGCGGGTTGCCGGCATGATGAGCGAGGCAGTGGTGCTTGTGACGTGACCCTCGCCATGATGGACAGTTTCCCCTACACCCTGCTGCTGACGGCCATCACTCTCCTCTCAGGTGAACATCTGCCTCACTCTTCTGCCCTCTACTGCTCCGGTCTTTGACAAACTTATAACTAATGACGCACACACACACAGATGGAGCATGAGGAGCGTGAGACATCGGACCTGGTCAATAACAGGTATACAGGTTGTTCACCATAAGCGGTACCTGGCTGCCCGGGCCAGTGGTCAAGGCCGCTCACCCTCATACCTTCTGCGTCTTCAGGAAGTCCATCTGAGGGGGACGGGTTCCTCTCTCTCTCTCTCTCTCTCTCTCTGGCTCTTCCTGCTGAGTTCTTGGTCACAAATCTTCTCATTATAGCGTGAATTTATATGACGATTTTACTGAATGAATAGCCAACTATATCTATTCTTATATAGAGCCCGAGTCGATATGGAATAAATTCATGGTCATTTATTTCCCTATTTTGATAAAGGGTAAAAATTAACAGTTAAATTATGTCTACCGTGAAAATATTAAGTACAGTTTCTTGCGACACTTACTAACGGAGTTATTTGGTACCGTTAATTAATCTCTTGACAGAATTTGTGAAAAAAAAAACCCACGGTGAATCAAACTCACAGCAAAATGTTGAATCAATACAAGTTGACTTCAGACCCACAAGTCGAGAGTTACAGCTCAGGTAAAGGTGTAGGTACAAATACAGGTTAATTGTTCTTATGATAAGAACACCATAAAAAGTAATGCCTTAATAGTAACGTCTCCTAGTTGTCCTTGCCTCTCAGCTGGTGTAGCGAGACACCCGGTTACACTCCTCCTACTCTGATCAACACTTAAACAATCTCGGTACAACGACGGCCCGCATGTGCACCTAACCACTGCCTGCAACATCATAACCGGGGACCATCTTGCTAAGCGACTACACGAGGCACCTGCACGGGAGAATGACTCGTGGGGAAGGTTGATCGAGGAGACAGAGTCGTGTTATAACCCAGTGCGTCATAACCCACGTATTTCAAGCTCCTGACTAACCCACTTACTGGTGTGTGTGTGGTTTTTTTTATGTTTGTGTGTATAAATAAAACCTCTATGTATACACCAGCACTCTTGTCAAGTGTGTAACCTCAAGATGTGTTTTTTGGTTGTTGTTGTGTTGTGGTGCCAAAGTGTCGTGAGTCGCTAGATTGTTAAAAGAACGCGAACAAGAACAGGTGATATGGAGTATTTTAAAATCATGACGACATTCAAACCTGGCTGGTGTGGGCGTGTGGGCGACCGTCGTTGGTGAGCTATGTTAGGCATGTGGGTCTTGTGGGACCTGGTTGATGATGGTGGTTGTGGTAGTGGTGGGTTGAGAGACGGTGGTGGTGGGCTGAGAGACGGTGGTGGTGGGCTGGGAGATTCTGGTGGTGGGCTGGGAGACAATGGTGGTAGTTGTGGGTCGGTTAGTTTCCTTATCCTGATGAATCATGTGTAAGGGTGAGGCTCTTGCTGTCCACTAAATTATGTAATGTGTGCGGAGATGAAGGAGTGGCAGAGGGATGATAGGTGAAGGGAAGTGGCTGGGGGGTGATAGGTGAAGGGAAGTGGCAGGGGGGTGATAGGTGAAGGGAAGTGGCAGAGGGGTGATAGGTGAAGGGAAGTGGCAGAGGGGTGAAGGCAGAGGGGTGATAGGTGAAGGGAAGTGGCAGGGGGTGATAGGTGAAGGAAGTGGCAGAGGGGTGATAGGTGAAGGGGGAGTGACAGAGGGGTGATAGGTGAAGGGAAGTGGCAGGGGGATGATAGGTGAAGGGAAGTGGCAGGGAATGAGAAAAAAAACGAATGCAGTAATAGTAGAAGTGATAAGACTTTTAAGGTGTTATTAAAGATGCTGCAGAGGCAAGAACCTGGTTGACAAATCTCGACTGTTTACCTGTTACGAGAGACAGGTTAATTATCACAGCTCCTCAGGTGAGACACAAGATTTATTGTCAGCCAAAGCGTCATTGGCGGCAGCGTAAACTTTACTTTGTGATTTAAAATACGAATAAGTTAAAGTTAAGATGAATGCTGGCTTAAGTTAGGTTAGGTTAGGTTAGATTAGATTCGATATCCCCAAGTGTTTTGAAATCGTAACGTTATCCTTTGCCATATGAATTGGTTAAAGTTAAATATATAGTGATGTTTTATTTCTGAGAAGTAATAAGTGATTAACGTGACGATATCAGAGCAGGTCGGTGACAAGAGTGATAAGGATGAGATACCAAGCAACTATAACAGGGTTGGTTGGTGGTCTATTTACTTTACTCAGTCGGGGCGGCACTGTAGTTACCTAAAGGGGGTCACTTCAACAGAATTTTCTCTAACACCAAGACTCTAATGAATCGGTCTCGAAACATTATCCTCTACTTGTAAAATAACTCCTAAATCTGTTTTTTTTTTCTAGGGAGGGGGGGTAGGGGTAGCAGTAGACAGCCAATCAAAACGCGAGTTATATAGCAAGTGTGTTACAATACGTCCTTGAGTGTTGTGATGGGTTAATATAGATGGTTCCACTACCGAATATGTGTTATCCACCGCACAGAAGAAAAAGACCTTTATACTACCTATCATAAGGGTGGTGTGTACTAGAGGAAGAGGGATATAAGTACAGATGGTCATATGCGTACCAACACTAACATTCCGAAGTTAAATTACTAAATAAGGTCATAACACTCATTGTACTGAATATTTCTCTTTGTATCTCGGCACTAAGTATCTACAGTCACTTAATACACTGTGTCACTATTATGGGAAGGAGACATCAAGCAAGACTCACTTTATAGGACGCGAAATTTACACTATAGAGTCCAGTGACCATCGCTACCACCACTATGTTGACTCAGGGGTGAAGGCAGTTTTAGGGCCTGGATGAACAGGTTTTTCAGTTGGTGGTGATATACAAAGGCCAATAAGTGGCATTTTGCATCCTGAATTGATAGTTGTAGAACACCAACTGATAACTAAAGCAAAAAGTGATATAGGAGACATATGCTTTGAGTTCAAATATTCACTGAGTGTCAGAGTCAATGTATTATGTTTTACAGCTGTTGATTCAGATTACAAAATTATATTTCTTGGTCTTCTTATTGTACACACACACATTAACAGTATAATGAGCCTTAAACTTGTATATACCTGGTTCAAAAAATAAATAATACTTGTGAATTACCATTTTTCTATAACACGTGACACCTTCCTCCTGTAAGATTGGTCACCACACTTACTCCTCCCTGTGGTCTCGGGTGGGGGGTATTCCGCCTCTTCACTCTCTTGGTTCTGTTTCCGGAAATGTTTTAGAAAAAAGCTAGACCTCTTCAAGGACACAGATACTATGTGACATCAACACATTTATTTTCGGTCGTGGCCACAGAGGACTGATGTAACCGGCGCTGTAAAATCTGACGATACGATGTTTTGAGGTGAAATCTAAATGCTTCTCCTTTTAATTTTGTGTGTGTATTTGACGCTTCAGATACTGTACTGGTCTGCTACGGTAACTTTTGAAGCCTCTTTATGCTGCCACTCATGTTTATATGTTCTCGACTTCATTGGGATGTTTGTCCAGACAAAGACGAACATACACACGGCCTCCGTCTCTGGGGTGTCATGATAGCAACAAAAACGAAATAATTCTGCAAATGTCATTCTTTACAATATGCCATGTTTAAGGAACACACCCAGATACATACACACACACACACACACACTCTCACATATACCACAGCCACACGCACCCTACTTGCCCACTAACACACTAGTGCGGTAAGTGTCCCCCATGGCGGGTGGTGGTGACGGGCGGGGCACAAGGGCGGCACTGTGGGCCTGCACTCGTAGCGATAACTACCAAGGGAGGCGGACAACACCGCGCCTTATTGTGTGGCAGTGTGGCGGAGTTCAGGGACAAGACCTCCTGCTCACCCAACATTGATATTGGGAGGACCTGGGGAGAGCAGGGCTTCTGTACCCATCCCTGACTCACTGAGTATTACTGTACTGTATGTTCACCCCTCACTAACTCCTCCCCCCGTCCCTTCCCCTCCTTCCTCCTCGCTCCCTTGGTGCTCCTCCATCCCCCCTCCCAACACCCCTCCCTTTCCTCTACACCTCCTAAACTATTTGGGGTTCACTGATTTTTGTCTTCCTTATCGTCGGTGGTGAAGGCGTTGGCTTGCAGTGCGACGCCCCGACCTACTCATATCTCATTCAGTTTAAAATCTATTATGATTATCCGCCGACCATCACGCGCAGTACGTATGACATCAATGCAGTTTTACAAAAACAGTTTTCTAAATGAACGTTAAGTGTTTAAAAGGGTAGCAGTACTACTTATTTTGTTTAGTTTAATAAATAACAAGAATTCACTTAAATTGACAATAAATTAAATAGAAATGACATCACCCATGCAACTCCCTCAAAATCCTACGTCATATGCAGCCAAGAAAGAGGTGCTGAGGCTCTTTTGTTTATCGTAAACTAAGTAGGATTCTAGACACTGTAATGGGCTGTATGGAAATATATTGAAGCAAATATATTAAAAAAATGCTCAAGATGTGTCAAGGACTTTTGTATCTGTATATTATGTCCATTAACATGTAAAGGGAGATTAATGACTGGCTAGTTGCTGTGGCGATGGTTCACTCACTCTAACCAATGACTAGATCATTGATGTTAGCAGTCTTCTTGTATAGATAAACACTAATGATATGGTGGAGGTGACTTCCTAAGCTCATCTAAATGTTTTACTTATATTTATAGTGATTTTTCAGTTCCAGCTAAATGCTATGGTTCAGGTGGTCTTGTCCCGGCCCCTGTGAAATGTTGTAGCTCAGGTGGTTGTTGTTGCCAAAGCTCCGGGTGTCATGTTTTGGTTTATCTCTACTGTATAACTAAACACTGGAGCTATGGTGAACTATTTTCTCAGTTGTAGATGTGTACATAGGAGGAAGTACCGGGGTCAGCAAGGCAGTTCCTCATCGTGTTTTAAGTATAAACTTCTCGAATGTTTGTCTGAGTTTTTTTTTTCTCTCTTCCGGGGCGTGGGAAAGCCGAGGTCATGGTGAGGGGCGTGAGGCGGTGAAGTAGTTCCAAGTGTTTTGATGCCTTAACCTTCTTCACTAATGAGACTTAACAACATAAGGTATTCAGTAATTAGCCTTAAACTACATCAACGCGATCTGGTTAAACTGTTCTTTAAGTATGTGAGTGTAGGAATGAATCACTTAGTCTTTTATTCAACAAATCCGCCAGTTCCGCAGTCATTTATACCAGTCAGGAACGGCTTTCACGGAGCTAAACGATTCAGCTAAACTGTACATAAACGGATAAAGAAGAACAGATATCACCGTGTTGGCAATAGAATAAATAACTAGAAAGTAATATATAGACACGATTACCAAAGTGTATCGTAGGTCGGGGTGGGGGGGGGTTACTGGAGAGAGCAGGTAATGACATCGCCATCAGTAGGTCGTCAGGTGGTGGTGGCGGGAGGTATGACAGGAGCCGATGGTGACCTATTGTTTTTGTCCATCCAGCAGCGGTGAGAGTCAAGGTGAGGGAAGAGAAAGTTTAGGGTGAGTTTATACCTGTGAGGAACCGCTGTGGTAAATCTCACCTGAGGAAAACTGAGAATTTATTTATTTTATAAATCAAAGGGAGAAATTAAATAAGCAAATTCTAATAATTATGGAATAGCTATGTTATTCCGCATCTGTAGAATGGAACATTTTAAGTTAGTTATACCTTCGAAATAAGAGAAAATGGATGATACCGTAAAAGGGGTAACCTATATAAAAAAGCGTTGCTATATTAGATAAACTTTATAACAAAAACAAAAACTGAAATTTGTGTTCTGACGTCACAACAGGATCTGACTGTACGTGATAGTTATAAAAACACAGTAATTGATGTATTTAATAACCCGTATACAAGTTGAGTGTAAGGCCATTGAGTTTAAGTTAGGACATGACCATAGTATTGAAGCCAGCAGAGTGTACAGTGAGTTTGGCCTCGTGGAAAAGAAAATGGGTGGAAGCGTCTGGGCGTCTGGTTATCCATTCCTCATTCATTTTCCATTCAGCCTCTTCCTCCCATCTCTTTCCGTTTCTCATTCTCTTCCTCATTTCTTCTCTTTTCCTTATTCCACTCACCTCGTCCCCTCCTGCCCCTCACCTCGTCCCCTCCTGCCCCTCACTGCGTCATGCCCAAGCTGCAGGAAATTATTCCAACCTGACACCGTAGACGATGAGACTATATATAACCATCAAAGTTTCGTAGTTGTCTGTCTCCCTCCCCTCCCCTCCTCCCTCCCTCCCATCCTCCTCCTTCCTCCCTTTTTACTCTTCCCGCCCTCCTCTCCTTCCCTTCCTCCCTCTTATGTTTTCCTGTTCAAATTCACCTCTTTATTACACTTCCTCCTTCTTTTCTTTCTTCCAACTACCTGTTTCTTATATACTCTCTCTCTCTCTCTCTCTACTTCTTTCCCACTGTCACCCCCATGATCCACACCACAACCTCTTCAACCACCAGCCTGCAGTAACAGTAATTCCTGACTGGTACATTCCCTAACATCACTGTGGCCATCATGAACTTTGTAATTATTTTATTGAATCAGGAGTGCTTGAGGACATTCTTGCTGTTTATCCAAAATTTGCTGCTTAGAATATGACTTCTAATGTATATGAACCTCTGTCCTGTGTGGCAGTGAACAGTGACATCACCCACATGACTCTGACCTATATATACTGTTAATGAATATGATGTATTTTTTTTGTGTATGAACCTCTGTCCTGCGTGGTAGTGAGAAGTGATACCACCCTAAGTGTCAAGACCTGACACACACACACACACACACACACACACACTGAGCAATTACAATACCCTCCTCCTTCAATCTCGGGTTAAAATGAGGGCGAGAATATGACACAACATTATTTCACCAATACCTAAACGTCCCTGTCTTATTTCTCCTCACAAGACGGACAAAATCACAGCGAAAAATGAGGAGCTTCTCTATAATTCTGTCCTGGGTGAGGGATGAGGAATGAAGGGTGAGGGGTGAGAGGTGAGGGGTGAAGGGTGAGGGGTGAGGGAGGAGGTCCATATCTTCCCTCCCGACCATCAGGAGTCTCGAAAATGCCTCATAACTTACCTCGCTAATCTTGAGTTTTGGCAGCGGTGTGTGTGTGTGTGTGTGTGTGTGTGCGCGTGCGTTCGTTTACTCATAGTTGGTACGCTACAGTTTATGGTACAGCAGCAGTAGTAGTAGTACCTGTAACACCTTCATCTTCGCCTACAGGAGTGTTGGTGGAGGGGTGTAACATGGCTACCAAGGAGGTGGGGGTGTGTCTCCACGTCTACCTGGAGAGGGACTTCTTAACCATGGAACGTATTGTTTACCCGAGACGCAGTGCTAAGAGACGGGAGATGCTCTATAACAGGTGAGGTGCTCTATAACAGGTGAGGTGCTCATTAACAGGTGAGGTGCTCTATAAGTGGACTCTTAAACAAACCCAACACTAACAACCTCACCAGCTCGTGTAATTTTTAATACATTATAAACACTGAAACATAAATTATGTCATGAGTAATACTATGAGGATGTATAATGTTTCTGTGTGGACGTAAACATTAAGTTGACGAATTTACCTGACAGCTACGCAGGTGCTAGGTCTCTGCGTCTGTTACCGAGATTACCTCAACTCGGGGACCTCACGACGGAGGCCAGTGTGGCACAGACGACAGATGCACGACAGAGTCCGGATATGAAGACGAATCAGGGTGTGGAACAGAGCCAAGACGTGAATCCAAAACCTGGTGTAGAGCATAAGCCAGGAACTCTGCAGATGATGAGTGTGGGGGAGGACGTGAAGGGTCGCCACAATCACCGACTTCTCACTGACGATGGCAACTGGACGAGGGTGAGTCCCAGTCCCCCCGATAACTACGCCGTGATCGACGCCTACGGTCAGCACGGATGGGTGGAGGGCCCGGAACTGGAGGACTATTGCAGGTGAGTATCTGCCCTAGACTGTCAATAATGACGAGGCATTATAGGTACTGATAGGAGAGCATTTGTTTGTTTCTCTTCACACATCACCGGACTGGAACGCTCAACAAGCTTTATTTGTTGTTACATAAGCCGATGCTCTTTATATTTGGAATATTTAACTGTTTTAAACAAGTTTACTGGTTTTGAATTAACATCATCACTGGTCTAAGCCTTACTACCAGGATAAAGTGAGTTATACAGAGGCTGGTCTGCAAAGAACCCATAGAAATGCTGTAGACGGAGAGGCTGCAGGTAACTAAGTGCAGGAGACCGTGAGGCAGCGAGGTGTTACATATTAGGCGAGGACTCTACCGGGCGACGGCCACATGTAGAGGCAACATTATCCCAACATTGATATATCTTTTATCTTCTCATCTTTTCATAAATTCTTGTAAAATGCTTTATAACTGAGCTTCATTTTTAAGTTAAAATTAGCTTTTGACTGAAACCATTACAGGAACCAGAGGGTATCCCTACAGTAAGGTCAGTGATTTTTTTCTAATTAGTCCGGGAGGGGGCTAGTTTATTGGGCACTCCCTCGCACCTGTGCAAGGCGTAGCGCAAATAGCGTTTACAGAGTCCGACAGGGAAGCACGCAGAGTTCATGCTTGCCTAGTCGACTCCTGCATTTAAGGGCGTAAGTGCCTGAAGGGCCATGGATTTCATCGGCAAGTTACATATAGTGACAGGATGAGTGTGTGGGGGAGAATTCCCGATACATTACATTAATGTAATGAGTTGCGACACTGACTGGAAATGATCTCTTTTGAACTCTTGCTAAAGTTAGATGAAGATATTACCACATAAAACCATATAAACAGTAGTTAACCTATACTTACATAATATCTTCTCACAAAATGATAGAAGGTAACTTACAAATAGTAAAGTAACAAATTAGTTGTTTCTTGAAACTCACCAGACAACGTACTCTAGTGGGAACGAGCGTCGTCCCTCTCGTCTCTGACAGGCCTGAAGACTTGGTAAACAAACACGCGTGGCGCTGACGTCACCGGTTTAACTCTTTACTATTGGTTAGTTGTCAGTGCTGGGGCAACACCAGACAAAGCAGTAATATGATAAGTTAAGTTCTCACACCAAACTAAGCTGCAGGAGGGCGCGCGTGTGGCAGCTATATAACTGTAGCATACAGTCCCCTGGTGAGTGTGTGCCTCGCCACGTTTAAGGTTGTTGACTCATCACACGATACCAACAAGGAGTGTGGACACAGCCTCATCCTCACGAGAACTGTATTTACATCATTAGCCAACATACACACACACTTCTGCCTTTTCCTAGTACAGCTATTCTCAGGAGAGTATCTACTGATTTTACTCAATAGAAGTTATTATATGATGGTACTATAAACTGAGCAAGGAATCTCAATAATCAGACAAGAATGTCATTAAAAGTAGTGGCACACAGTGAGGGCCTCCCACACCACGCGTACCCTCTCATCCGCCAGGTCTTCTTACGTAACTCTTATGTGGTGGGGTGGGTACTGAGTCTAGCCCTCTTTGTTCTCCTCCCGAAATCCCTCATCTCTCATTCTTCCTCCCCTTTTACCACAAGGACGAAAACTTGTACTTTATAACATTGAGGGGTGTTGATGGTACCTATTGCAGTAATGTTCGTACGTCTGTATCCTGGGCTCAAACCTCAGCTGGTACTGCTGTTTTTTTCCTGTACTAACACTAGACAATGAACGTCATAACAAAATAATAAAGAACAGACCAACTGCCCAAACGGTTAATTAATTGACAAGAGATGACTCTATAAATCAAGTTAGTAATCTTTCTCTCCCTCTCTCTACAGTCGTCTGGGGACCGTCATCACGTGCTTCGAAGAGGTCTTGGTCGAATGTAACAGTGGCTATGACTTCTTCAGGTGAGCTTCGTACAAGATGAGAATTTTGGTGTAAATCATTGTAATAATGTTCTGGTAAATCACTGAGACTTGACCCTATATATTATATTTAACTTAAGCTTAAATTATTGCTTTGAATGTAATGAAGATATTTTACTCGCTCGTCAAAAATTTAACGTTTGATCTATGGGGGAGAAGACCAGGACAGACATGTAGTTGACTTACTGTACAGCCAATAATAACCCCTGGATGGTTGACTCCTGCAGGTACCGTCACTTGCTACACGCCCTGGAGAGAGTCCACACCTACCTCTGCCGCACCGCCGCCGACCGCAGCAGCAAGTTCCTACGTGAGTCTTGTGTCTCAGTAGGAGGGTCTCAGTGCTGCTGAAAGATGTGCAGTGTGTGTGTCCTAACTTAACCTCACCGAACCTAACCTAACCTAACCGCCGGAAGACAGTTCTCACCTACAAGGAATTGGATAATTACACTGTTAAACTGTATAGTTTATACATAGTTCATTGATATACCGGACGATATAATGATACATAATACAGCCAGCGTGAGTGTGTGTGTGTGTGTGTGATCAATACATGTAGGTAAACAACTGATGGGATAATATGTTGTATCTGATCTAATGTTAAGTTTGTGTTCTTGGTCAGCACTATACGTGAGTCGTGGCCTTACTGTGTGTTGTGGGTCCTTCATCTTCTTAAGTCAACCTGTAGGCAAATCCAACATCTTAGAGTAGAGTAGAGTACCTGCAGAACACTGGGTAATCGAGTAAGACCTCACCACCTAACATTTAAATCTTGCAGCTTTCCTGAAGGTGATAGACTGTGCAGAGAACGCGCGGCTGGACCGAGGGTCTTGTCATCGACCAAACGTCACAGTCAACGTGTGGAACCAAATACTGAGGCTGGAACTCGGCCCAGAGCTGTGCGAGTAAGTGTGGTCAATCATGGAAGTGTGACTTAAAGATCACCTGGGTTATCTCTTATTGATTACCTTAATCCCTGTGTTGATGCACGGATTATATTTCATTTGTATAGTTTCACAATTACATCTTTAGCTAACGATTATTAACAATAGTTGCTAAAGAGGTTGGTGTTGTGTCTTTGTAATACAGCGCCTCAAAAAAAAAAAACACAAATTTCATACAATTGACAACAACTGAGATGAAATGAAAAGGTGTAACTGAATATTTAGTGTTAGTGTCCATGTAAGAATATTGAGTAGTTTTGAAAAATTCCTTTAGTCAGTTGGATGAAGCTATATCAATAAAAGACAAGTAATCCTAACATTACCGGCAGTTCACTCAACACCCAGCGCTCTTGTCTGCTGGAGAACGAGTACGTGAGACAGGAGTGTGGTGGGAAGGCCAAGGAGGAGCTGTACAAGAACGTGTCTGGAGTGTTCCTGGCTACCTGGTGTCGTCTCCCTTTACCTCCACATCTCTCCCAACTCTTTGTGTCATCTAGTCCACCTCCCTCCGCCGCCTCCTTCACCCCCCTCCTCCTATTGTTGTTCCTACAGGCGGTCCTCACTACCTCCTGATGACCCCTCACTCCCTCACTCACTCTCCCGTGCTGTGAAAGATCGAGACATTACGCCTGATAGGGGTGTCGTCGTCCTCTCAACGCGGGAAATAACAAAGTATTGGTGTACATTTGCAACATTTGTATAGTCCTGTGGAAAATATTGGTGCTATCCATACCTCGTAACTCCGTGGTGAACTAGTGCCGTTACTCTTGGTGATGCAAGGAACAGCATCGGTAACAATACTTCCTGGTGACTGAACAACAAACTCACACAAAAAATGCCTCATCTTATGGCCTCTTTACTTAACTACGAGATTTAAGTGATAGTGACTTTCTTAACCTGTGAACCGCTGGACATTTGTATTGTACTACACAACTGAGTATTATAGTACTGTAAATATGTATACAATTTTGTTTGTGTATTTTGTGTATGATTGAAACTTTTTTTGGTCTTTTTCTTGACATTCCATGACCAGAAGATAACTGAGGTGTTCTTCTGTCAGGTGTTGTGTGTGTGTGTGTGTGTGTAACATGCAGAGGAGACACAACTACCACGTGTTATATAGAGGTATAACTGTGACCAGGTGGCTTACAATATGTGTGAACAAGATGATAATAATTGATTTTCTACTTAATTTACAAATAAACAAAAATGACAATAATCTTATTTGATTTATATTCTAAAGATCCAAATGCCAGATACTATAATGGATGATCATTGTATTTAATGGTTGATATCATTTGCGTTAGTTTGGTTTTTAAAAAATTTATGTGTAAATGATTTGTATTTCCACTTTCCCCTTACTACCTGGTCGAGCTGGTATATCAGATGATTGCTGTTATACCTGGACGTAAACACCTGGTAGGAGATTGGGTCTTAATACTTGAATGTGTTTATACCTTGTAAAAATGTCTATGTGGAAGTAGTGATTTTTCACCTCAGAATCGCTTAACATTTGAAATTGTTTTTTTTTCTGATTGGCTGTCCGCCTCATGGTGCTGTGTTGCCATTGGTTATCTTTGAAGGTGCTGTGTTGCCATTGGTTATCTCTGAGGGTACGGTGTTGCCATTGGTTATCTCTGAGGGTACTGTGTTGCCATTGGTTATCTCTGAGGGTACTGTGTTGCCATTGGTTATAACATCTTGTCATGTTGCTTTGTGATTGGTTTTCTTTCGTTGTGATGCTTTGTGATAGTATGTTATTTCCTGCTGTAATGTGATTGGTCACCTTTCGTGCTCCAGGATATGGGACTGGTTACCTCTCATAATGTGAGTCGCCAAAACTTTTATGATAATTGCTTTGTGGTTGTTTATCGCTTATCTACCGTAAGTTATCGCTTGTATTGTTCCTCTATGATTAGTAATATGTTGTGTTCCGTGACAGGTTGATACGAATATCTTGTGGTGCTGCAAGTATTGGACTGGTTATTACCCTCGTTCTGGGTGTTTAATTATCACTACAAACACCAATTCTTCTTCTTGTAAATAGTCATCGTGAGCAATAATGGTTTAATTCTGGTCTTTTCGTTAATAGGATGAAACAGGAGAGTAATGATTGCTGTAGGTCTTCATTCGTAGTACTGTTGGAAGTAACTTGTCTACTGTATAGGTGTCTGTAGTAGGTCGAGGATTTTGGCGAATTTGTCTACTTGAAAAACTCTTCTCGTCACACACACACACACACACACACACACTAGCTTCCAACACCCAATATTATGACTCGAGTGTAAAAGTTTTCCCGAGTGTTTCCTTACCAAGATTGACGAAGGTTCCTAGCCAATGATAAAAGTGTCGGTATTCTTCTCTTCACGACAGCATGCTACAGTGTGTATTGAGTGAGAGGTGAATAGATTTTGCGTTCCAGTAAGAGTTTGTTTTCCATGTGTGTGTGTGTGTGTGTGTGTGTCATTTTCTCCTTGAACTCTTGGAGGCTTCTGTTGTCTATATTTTTTGTCTTGCTCTTCCTCTTCCCAGTGACAGTGACTTGAAAAGGTGGAATTTACAAGTAGAAGATGAAACGACGTGTGTAAGATGAGAATTCCTTTATGGTGTCGTGTGAGGAACGCGAGAGGAGTGTTTGGAGGTACAGGATACTCTTGCCGCCTGTCAGCGTTGGTTCTTGGTGGATTAGTTAATATTGTTTACTTCTTTCAGCTGGTTAATAGACGCTAGAAGGTGTATGTATGTGTGTGAGAGAGAGAGTACGTGTAAATTTCTTCATTACTTAACTTAAAGATACTGAACTGTTGTCACTCGTCACTGTCTTGCTTGTACTCTGAATATTTTTTTTTTTCAATAAAGATAAATGAAGATAAATAAAGAGTTTTGTATGTTTTTCTTATGCATAAATCATTTATTTATATACTTCAGATTTATATACATATCGCGATATAGACTCGTGAGGAACATATCACTAATTATAATATATTAGACATTTTGAATTGGCCTGTTAACAAAGACGATTATGTAGAAAAACTATATTAACAATAAATTATTAACATAAGTATTAACCTAACTGTTCTAACTTAAACTAACATTATTTAGGTTAAGTTTGGATATGTTAAGATAACGAAGGACGTCTGAAATTAAAGTCGAGTTATAAAAATATAAAGTAAAATAATATCACAAAACAGCCTCTTGCGATTTATAGCTTAATTATTCCCATAACACGTGACACATATTACATAACCTGAATATAGATTTGGTATTTGTAATTTAATATATGTATGGTTATAGATAAATATAACTTAAGTATATAATATAAACTATCTTAATATATTGTTATAGATCACTATGTTTATTATAGACAACACTCGAAAAATAGATAAATATATGTTCTCTATTTGTATTATTAGTTTATCGTATTTTGCCGAAAAATATCGAATGTTGACGACTGACTTTACACCAAACGTCGAATTCCATCACAGCTGGCAGAGCAATACAACACACTGCCTCATACAACATTAATGAAGTGTATGATGTCAACAAGTAGCCCCTGGGAATGCTTTGACGTGTTTATCCTACTGGTTTTCTTATACACTCTAGTGACTACATATATAAGACATGAAATTATCAATACTGAGGTAACCTGGACCGTGGGTTGACTTGTCACTGACGATTTTTTACGTCCGACAACTCAGCACTGCACTGAACAGACTGACGAAAGGGATAGTCTTTTGGTAGAGTCAAATATAAAATGAAAAACAATAAATGTAAAATGAAAAATAAATTCTCTTCCATGTATTAGCACGTGATTTATTACGCTCCCAGTATTTGTGTCAAAGAAATAAAAACAAATCGGCATTTTCTTTGACATGATTAATAAACAACCTTACTAGAGCCAACGACCTTGTCTCAACACCTATCTTACTCAATATGTCACATGTTTACCCTGTTCTATGTTAACACTTTTGTCTTATGGTCCTGTCTTCACTATCAACTATCAATGGAACTTTAAAAAAAAATATATATGTAATTGAAAATAACAACTACGAGCATAAATCACTGAAATCAATTATCACAGAAAAATTAACATTATCATTGCAATGGAATCAATATAGAGTTAAGCGAGCCAGTGAGGGACGGGTCCACTCGTCGCCAAAGCCTTTAATTCTATCGTTCATTATAGAATTAACTCCTTTCAAAGTAGAACAAATCAACTACACTTCAACGAGATAAAACAGTTAACTCTCGTACTTTTGTTATCACGTATAATTTTCTAAGTTAATTTTTTTACTACTGAACTTATCTCTGAAACCGAGTACAACTGTGGTCAAGATTTTTCTAACCAAAGAGAAATTCGTTTGGCTTGATTGATGGCGGACAGACGATAGCACATAACAAAAGCGAGTAGACTGATCAAACCTTTGCTAACGAGACTTCACATCTTGGACTCAAAGGAGGTAGGGAGGTAGAAACCATTTATTATCACATTGCAATAACATTTAAAATATATCTTTGCTTTCTTAAAAAACCGTAGAATTTATTTAACTGTAATGGACTAATTCTGAAGTCAAGAAATATTGCACAAATCAGTGAAAAAAAAAATATTTCTAACTGACTGGGAAACATGTCAACCTTACTAGATTCGGAAGTTATCGTACACTTTGTGATAGATTTAATACTATTTACCTGTTCTATATTATACCTGCATCGTTCATTCGTATTTATAGATATATTGACCAAGACAAAGATAATAACAGTAGTCGTGATCAGCCTCATTAACTTCTACGGAAAATAGATGAAAGATGTTATTAAATTCTTCCCGTTGATGACTTATGTTCACTGCTGGGGTGTTGATGATCCTTATGTGCAAGTCTGGTTCATTAACTCGGAACTATTAAGTGTGTATGGATACCTCAATGAGTCATAATGGTATGTTGAGTCATAATGGCTCTTAGTGATATCAAATATTCAAGAGTTGTAAATAATCCAGCCGGGTAAGTGGACAAACATATTACATTCTGTCTGTACCACTGGATAACTCCCTCCATAAACGTTCAACTGGACATAAAAATTGGTTATACACTGAGCTACAACAAGCGAGAGGAAAAACATGACTATTCGACTAGACAGACAGACAGACAGACGACTAGTATGTCCCAGGTAAGAGGTAAGCATGGGTCCTCCCTGCCTTGTGGAAGTTCACATCTCCCGCAGTGTAGGTCTTGACAGGTACAATATTGCCACAACCAAATGGGCAAGTTAGAGAGAGAGAGAGAGAGAGAGAGAGTTAGGTAGTCTTGTGAATATTTGGAGTCCTCATTAGTCCTGCAGTGGAGAGTAGTGAAGATCAGTAGTGGTGATGGTGGTAGCCGCCGCGTGGACCCTGGGAGGCGGGGATTGTGGAAGCGTCGTCAGGAAGGGAATAGAACTCATCCCGCCAGTGGTATAATGGAGGACCAGGAGTGAAACAGTACTTCTGGTCCAGGGGTTCAGGCGACGTGGTCCAGTACATGATGTAGAAGTTACACATCTCGTCCTTGTTATAAGCTCTGTCGGGGGAAGGGGGGGGGATGGAGGGGGGGAGACACCAATACATTAATAACTGTATGGGTGTATGTTGAATGTAATTTTTATATCATTCACAGACAATTATTATAGATTATGTGAACTGTGTCGTCGTAAAGTCTGTAGTTTAAAAAAAAATAAAAAAAGTTAGTGATTATTCTTGGTGTAAATGATGGTAAACCTAACTTAAAATAATCAAAATCAAACTAAAAATATGTACGAGTATTCTAACATTAAAGTGGAAAGTTTATCTCTATTATAAATCAACAAGATATCTCACACATCCTGCCTAGCACGCCAACTCATAGTGTCTCGGTGATGAATACCATGAGTTTTCTACACATTCTCTATAACGAGTTAAGTGACTGAGTTAAAAAAAACCCATAACTCACCTAATCAATTAAATATCACAAGGAAAACATTCTGATAAATTGACGACATTATTACGAACGTGATAAATTATACAATAACAATATAATGACAGGTTACATAGAGTAGTAGTCAGTCAAAGGATCATTCACAAATTTCAAAAACATCAATAAAAACGAGAAACTGACATACGAACGACAAAGGACATGCAAAACTAAAAAAAAAAATCTACACCACTAAACATACAATTACTCACCTTTTTGTACTGCCGAGTTATGGACGAGAAAAGCCGAGTCATGGACGAGAAGAGCCGAGTTATGGACGAGAAGAGCCGAGTTATTTTTTTTAACCCGTCAAGAGAGACCTGTTTACACTCACAACACACTTCTTATACACTCAACATACACTCACGACACTCAATATACACTCAACACACTCATCATACACCCTCCATCATTCAGGTATCTTTTGAGTACATCTATACAGTTTTAAGTCAGTCAGATACTACCACCATATAAGTTAACACAGATCTTTAAACTCTTACCTGTCATATATATCCTTAATTAGGTTTATATTCACAGGTGTAGTGTGGCTAAATGTGTTTATTAAATGATTACAGTGACTATAGTATTTCTCTTTTATTTTAACTTTTTTCATGACAAGACCATTCCTAGTTATACATTTTAATTTATTGTAAGGAATTTCATGCATTATGGGACTATAGTTGCTGAATGATTAAATTTGAATCGAAATTTATTACCTATTTTATATATTTCGTATTTATTCACTAAGTCTCAAACTTTTTTTTTTATTCTTATAATTTACTTTCTTACTCTCTCTCTGTTTTCACAATATGAATCTTTATCATCTACGTTAATATTAATAGTCCTTTTTACTCCTGTTTTTGGTATTTAATATAACTAAGGTAATGTAGATAATATATGGTAATAGTCATCAATAAGTCTAAGTACATCTCTATAAATATCCTCCTCCAGCTTTATAACACGTCTTGGTAATAGCTATTCCTTTAAGCCATCACCATCTGTTATCCATCTCCTGTATGTTATAGTCAGAGTAAAACCATGGCTATCCATCTATCATTTATGGGATTAATTTGTCTCATCAGGGAGATTCTTGAACCTGGTGTCAGTTTTCCAGTAGTAGTGAGGTGGACCAGAACTGAAACAGGTTTTCATGTCCAGCGGATTTTCAGAGGAGCCATCCACATAATACATGAGGTAGAAATTGCACATCTCCTCGATTCCCGTATTCCTTGTAATGAAGAAACCAGAATTATTCATTACACTGGGCCAATGTTGTTAGTCACCATCACACGGGAAGCACAGTGATCACTCTGCAGGTGTAAGGTGCAGCACACACAGTCCCAGACACTCAGTGGGTATAAAATAAAAGCACAATGACAACAAAACAATATAATAAATAATGCTCATATGCTATTATTCATAGGATAAACAAGCATGAAGCACTTTACCTAAATTGATATAATTAGAAAGTTTTTCAGACAACCTAAATCATCTTCTAGACTTCAAAAAAATATAGTCTTATAGAAATAATATGCTATGTTAGGAGTACACGTTTGCAGTCGTTCGTGGCTAGTTAGTCATTATGTACTGTAGCTGTGTGTTACTCGGCTATTATTGCTTCTTCTCCTAATTCTTGCTCCAAGGAATATTTTACCCCAAAAAGCATATCGATTTGAGATCAGATTGTTGCATATAGTGATTTTTGTTAATGTAAGCAACCTAAGTTTCATCAAAACGATTGTGAACTATCGCAACTACTGGTTTACAGTGGTATACCGTCATACCTAAGACAGAAATCTGCTACATTATGGTATCTTAGCAAAGACGTCATATAACATCATAGTAGATGTGCCAGTACCGTTCATAGTTAAGGGTTTCTTGTGACCAAATATTTTATATCTGGTGAGGTTTGATCCCTAATTCCTGACCCGAGGAGCCAACGGGCAGGGAGGAGGCGTCCTTGTCAGGAATGTTGTTGAGGCCACCCTGATTCCAATAATAGAAGGGCGGGCCTAGGGAGAAGCAGGTCTTTTTCTTCATGATTGGGCCATCCGTCCAGTACATCATATAGAAGTTACACATCTCGTCCTCATTGGTGGAGCTGCAAGTAAGTAGTGGGAGGGTCGTGTGTGAGCAACTACTGGGGACACACTGACGGGGATCTTGCATCAAACTTGGGACACTGTGGAACTAAAACCAACAGTTCCTATTATGTTTGTTGCACTATCCTTCAAGAGTGTTTATTGTATGGTAGAGAGGTAGTGTTGCCAGGGACCCGCCTTTGATGTTATGAGATGTGAGCACTTGTCATACCAACAGTCTTAAGTATTACGGATTATTCATGCACATCTGGTCAGCTACACCCAACCTTATGCTATCGGTCCTATTTAATTATCTACGTTAATTAGTTCGTTAATTAAGCTCATGAAGAAGTAAATCTAGTGCTTGGTAAGTGCTTCTATATGATTCTTATTTTGTGAGATGAGAGTCAGCTTGTAGGGGGAAAAGAAAAATATCCCAACACCACCACCAGTGTAACGCGACATGCAAGAAATCAGTCACTGTTTTCGTATATTTGTTCAGTCTATAAAATATGTACAGTTTGTTTCTTCCCTGAAAGGTAAAGACTATGAGATATATTTTTCGACCTTTCTATGGAGCAATGGCTGTAGTCTCATTAGTCAGCAAAGCAGTTAATAATTTAAAAATAATCTCGTCTGGTAACTTCCATATTCAATTTATAATTCACTAACTTTACCTTCTGTTGTTAATAAATATCACATCAACAAGAAGTGAACCATTTTTTTTAGGAATTCATGTGTGATATTTTCTTCTGTATGGTGTTCAGGTAGATGGTCATAGAACTTAATTGTCATTTTTTTTTATTTCCTTACTGAACTTCTTTCATTTTCACTGTATAATAATCACCGTCTTCCTCTCTTCACCGGCTGCAGAGTATCAGTCCACTTCTTTCCTGCCCTAACACACACCCTATTCACCATCTCATCTCTATCATCTCACTCATAACTTAGGATACCTCAACTTCATCCCTCTCATAAAACTGTATATCAGAAACACTAAACCATCCACAATGTAACAACTGTGTTTGGTTACTTACTTTATCAAAGGCACAATTGTGAGTATTATCCAAGTCCATGTTTGTCTTTTCCACCATTTAAATTAATGCTTAGAAAATGCACAGTAATAGTGAACTAAGAAAGGCATATATTTAAATTATAGTTTGAGAGTATCAAGATGGCATAAACACAGACATGCAACGTGCAAAGAAGATGTGTGTAAGTGCTCATATCATGCAAAAAAGAAATCACTTGTGAAATTGTAACTTCAGCACTGGATATGTATCTAATTTACATAAAAAAATGCCACAAAATATACTAAGACAAAATATGAATATTCACAACAATAATATATATCAATATACTACAAACACTGATAAAGAAAACATATAGAGATGCACGTGATGACTTAAGGCCCACACGGGTGACTTACCCAATCCTGGTGGTGCGGTCCCTCTTGCTCTCCATGGTACAGCGGGCAGCCTGGCCAGGGGAAAAGTCTTATTGTAAATCACGTCTATGGCTTCTATACAACTTTTAGTAATGAAAAAGTTTATTATTCCCCCAAAAAATAAATAAAAATACAGTTTCTAACAATATATGTAAGGCTAAAAAATGTGAAGTGTACAAAAGTCAGAGTAAACATTGAACGAAACTGTACCTATAGTAACTGAAAAAAATAGGAATGTAAATAATGTAAGAACATACTATACACTGATGAGCGTTTACATGGATAGATAGATTTTAAATTAATTGCTACTTCTATAAAACAAAATAAAATATCTTGGTATTGGTTGATTTACGTGAGAAACATTTACACTACTCACCACAGTATCGCCTTTACGTAGGACAACGTCTTTATAAACTGGGTAGAACATCTGGGGCAGCTGAGGATCCCTCTTACCGATCAGTTCCCAGTCATCAAAATAGCCTTTACGTGTCACCTTGTACCCCGACACAACACGACCTGAAAGAGTCAAAAACTACATTAGCAACAGTTATTTACATACTTTTATCTATGACGAACATGGTATCTGTACTGTATTGTAAACAGATCTATTGAAAATTAAAATGTACCAAGGATGAATTATATAAACACATGTACTATATAACAATTGTAAGTAGTAAAGTATTAAGTCGTGAGTGGGTCAAGGGAAGGGAGGATCTCACCAAGAGCGTGTGTGTGAGTCCTGAAGGCGAAGGGGTGGAGGATCTTGTCTTCATTGATGGTACAGGCTGTTTCCATGTACTCCACACTCTTGGGGTTAATCCGACCACCAGTTCCCATCAGCAACACACCTGCTGACTTAGGCTGACTGAAATACATACAACATTCATTACCATAAGAAGAATCCTTAGCATCTGTTTATGTCATTGAAATATATGAAGAAAATAAATAGGCAGGTAGTGGACGTAATCTGTACGAAATCTTTAGGCACACAAGAAGGAAGCAAGGAAAGAAGGAAGGAAGGAAGGAAGGGAATATTGTAACTTACGGGGTCTCGGTGTAATAGAGGAACACCCCAGAGTCATCAGTCGACCCATCTGAGGAGGAACAAACAATATGGTATACCTTTTGTGACGTCATATGTTTACAGTTTTTTATTAGCAATACTAAAAAAACAACTTTGATGCAATTTCAATTTAAAAGTAAAATAGAGCAAAAAATAATAGAAATACTGTAAATTAGAACTTACTGGGAAGGTCTTTAAAGGAGTGATCATTACTGACTAACCTTTAAACTTCTCTACTGAGGCGTAATGGACCTGTAATACGAGGTACTGGATGGGTGACCGGCCGCCCACCTTGAAAGCAACTCCTTCAGGCAACACCAACTTAGGGGCATCTTTGGCCCAGGCGTAAATAACCTGGAAATAAACACACGGTCAGAGGTCAAAGGTCACATATAGGTTCATAGGTCATTATCAGGTGTATTCTATCTATTCATCTTTCAACTACTAGTACTGTACACACACTTCGGGCCATGGTGACTGACTACCTACAAGTATACAGAAAATCCTTCAATAATACCACGTTCACGAATGATTAAAACCTGTGTATCCTTGTATATATGTGGATAATTAGCCAGAGATACACAGTTTAGTTAAAAATATGAAATTTATAGTTGTATCTGTGACGTAATGGAGTTCTTTGGACATTATATAACATAAGTACACACACACACACACACACACACAGTTTACAACCAAGCCATAAAAATGTTGTAATAAATATTACCTGTAGCAATGGACTGACTTGCAGTTCTGGTGCATGTGCTAATTATGTACCGTTTGTGTGTGTGTGTGTGTGTGTGTGTGTGTGTCCAAATCTATGCGAGTCCAAATGCGTGGCCAAATATGTGCATAAACCAAAGTGTGCATGTCCATTGTCCAATATGTACATGTCCAATTGCATACGTGCGCATATTATCGAGAAGCGTGAGCCGCGTATATATGTATGTGTTTGTTTTTAAAATACCAGTAAGGATTTTTTCAACATTTAAGTAAAATATATTCATAAAATATATCCACACACTAGAGCGTGTCTATGTAACAACAGGTAATAACTATCTGTAACAGCTAATTTCTGCCTCACAGGGAACAAGTAAAGCTAGGTCAGGTAGGAGCAGAGGGTAGGACTCACCTGGGATCCTGTGGCGCAGACGGGGGCGCTCTTGATGCCGGGTTGTGCCAGGGCCATCTCCCCACAGTTCCACACCTCCTCGTCAGTACCGGGCGTCTCACAGCCGTAGAGTAGCATGTGGTGGGCCGTCTCCATGCTGGCGTTTGGCTGGAATGCCGCTGTCAAGACAAAACTTACAATAAACACTTGTGTTATCAGAGAGTAGAAGGTTTATAAGGGTACTGCATCACCTTACAAACAAAACACAGGTAAATCTTTTAATTTCTGTTTAATTGTGATGTTAATATGGCAGAAACATCAGTAACGCATCAGTATAACAGAGGATATTTACAGTAGTGAGAAAGGACAGATGACTTAACAGTAAAGATCACTTCTAAAGGTAAAACTGCAAGTAAAATTTTATGATTAACATTCTATCACAAAGGATTTTTATCAATAGACGTGATCACAGCTCATGTCGTTTTTTGTTCTTTAATGTGACTGAACTAAGAGATATACGACGTATATATATAACAGCTGCAAACATCACCACCGCTGCATCACCGCTGACTCATAACCAATAAAAAAATAAAAAACAATAACATCTCAGTCCAGCGCTGGTTTGGTGACTGTCTGGTAACTGAGGACTGTAACTGCATATCACCTTAAGCTTTATATGGATGAAGAATAAATACGTTGTGGCAGTCTAGATATTTCCCACACAAAACGTATAACCAAAACCTGTAAGTGCCTTGTGTAGTCTTGTACCGGTAAGGAGAAAGAAGATGCGCATTAACCATCAAAAGCAACCATGAGACGATTGAACGGTGCAATAAAACATTAAATTTACCCAAGAGCTAAGAAAAGGCAGAACACAACTAAGATATATGAAGGTGACAAAAGGCTGCAAGGATAGCAAAGGCTTGTGGAAGGAAGCAAAGAGCTGTGGCAGGGAGCCAAGACTTACGAATCGCAGCCTGTAAGTTGTGGCGGACACTGAAATTTTTCCAAGATAGAAAGATTTTTGGAGGAGAGCCAACAGTCGTGAAGGTGGGCGAGCAGAAGGCTGGAGAGGGGGGAGTAGAGGACATCAGCTGTGTAAGTCGTGGAGCGATACCAGACATCAAGAAGAAAACAATAACAATCATATGTGACTCCATGTCTATCGTGATGAAAAGTAAAGGAAAACATTGATTAAAAAAAATAAAGAAACGAATTTAATCGAGGTCTTCATTATTATGTGTGTTTATGTATACGATAACACTAAGAACTATACAAAGAAACTTAATGGAAATTCAGACTAATGAGGTACTCTGTATGTACAAGGACAACGCATCCACACAACGTAAACACCTAGAAAAAGTGCAAAAGAAGGCATGCAAGATTAATCTCTCCCCTTCCTACTCCACATATCAAGAAGCGTTCAACACACTGATCCTTTCGACTCTCACTGACCATCACCACGACCTCATCTGCAAATTTAGTAAGAAGCTTCTACACCATCCTCGACACCGGCTCCTACTACCACCTGAGATCCCTAGCCCGAGAATTGCTGTTCGACACCACAACCTGTTACGACCGTGTCGTATTTTTTCTTTTTTTTTATATATATAACATGCTCCCATGTTCCATATTATTCCTGTAATGATGTGTTAAATTTACTATTATATATTCTAGTCACCTTACCCCGTGCTGTTAAGGTTTTAACTGTCATTATTTGTTCAAGCCCATCTTGTTTCTTTATTTTGTATTGTAACCAGCATTCTTTGTTCTCTAACGACCATCTGCATCGTTAAACGACCGACCGGCGGGTCGCGTGGCGGGAGCCGACCTTATATATAGGACCCACCAACTGACTTGAGTCAGTTCAGTCCTCTTGTCATACAGTCCACATCCTTTGAGTGTTACTTGTTACTTATACTTAATTTATTTGTGTTGTTCCTGTCGCCACCAATGTGGTATATCTATGTGAGTACCTATTTATGTCTCTGTTTGTGCCCATCAGTATTTGCTTAGTTGTATTCAAGTAATTCAGTGTTGTTTCACGTTAGTTAATTTCAGTGATAGTTTTTATATGTTTATGCAGTGTTAACGTAATCCAATGCTTTATTTTTATTCTTTTGGTGTTTCGATGTTTTGTATCACTTGTGTCTTAAAAGTTTCGATGGTGAATCAATTTGTTGTGACAGCCTACGAGGCTCTTTATTGTGTTAATATTTAATCAATTAAATTCTTAAAGGTTTACTTTATTTATTTTTATTCTCTTTTAATTTACTTCACTTTTTGTTTGGTTACGCCTAGAACCTGGATATTTAAGTAAATTAAGAGACTATTGCAATTCTTATTATGCATTGAACTTCAACCATTGTCTCCCAAACTTATATTTTTCAACAAACCGTTAATTATTATTATTATTACTACACACAAGAACAAAAACTGACCGTAAAATCTCTCTCCTGACAACGATCACCATCATTATCTTTCGAGCTCCTATTACCAGGTAGGTACAAGTGTGTAATAATAATAATAATTAACGGTTTATTGAAAGAGCTTGGCAGCCAGAAGGCTGAAAATATACAGTTACATAATTGGGGAATGGGTTTCGATTTACAAATAATATACAAATAACATAAGTGATACAAATAAGATATATAATAACTAGATGGGGAAAAGCTCAAACTACAGTGCATTTCAACATAGTGACAGTGCAAGAAGTGGTATTTACTGGGAGTGAATACACTGGTTTATTACAAGTTATTGATAATTTTTACAATGGTTGGGACTGGGCTGTTCTTATAGCGATCAGTTCGTGCACGTATGGGCTGGATGCGGTTGTGGTGTCGAACAGCAATTCTCGGGCTAGGGATCTCGGGTGGTAGTAGGAGCCGGTATCGAGGTGTGTGGAGGTGTTTTGCCTCATTAAGCGGTGAGAGCAGCTGTCGTCTGTTCATGCTCACAGGTTGATTAAAAAACGTCACGGAGGGTAATTATAACATGTGGTCTATATTCTATGAGGCACCTTCCTCAAAGCCTTACGTGCTGGAGGTGGAGCCACAGTTCTCTCTAAACAACAAAACAAATGAAATACGATAAAATAAAATAAATAAATAAATAATAACTGAAGCATTTTTCATTCTGAGCATTTTCCATGAACGATGAAAGATATTACAGCCAGCGGAGGAGAGGTACCACTAATTCCTCGATCTAAATAAATTGTGTTTAAGTTGGCGCCCGGTAAATTGTGTCTAAGTTGGCGTCCAATATACTGTGAGGCAACGAGTCTGAAAATCGCTCCTGCCATTATGCCTCTTTTTCACAGCTATTCTCTGCTGGTATAAGAAACAGTCACTTCACCAGTCACCTCACCACCCCCTCACCAGTCACCTCTTCACCAGTCACCTCACCACCCTTCATCAACCACCTCACCACCCCCTCATCAGTCACCTCACCACCCCCTCACCAATCACCTCACCACCCTTCACCAACCACCCACTTTCACATCCAGCCCTGTAGCCTCGTGTAATCTAGGGCAGAAGGTAGCGGCGACACCCCCCCCCACCACCCCACTAGTACAAAACAAAACCTTGGGTGTGAACTGTCAGGAACCTAATGACTCTTTTTCCGTAACTACACACTTACGATAAGAGATTTCCGCTGTTATATTTCGTCGAGCAATATTACCTTTTTATTGTACTTCGTTATTGTTACAGCACTTATGAAATTAGGAATAACGAATGATCAATACAGAACTTCCATTACAGTGGGGTGGGGGAGGTAAGGCCCCACTGAATTAGGAAAGTACAGGAAAAACAATGTATTCTTGTACCTAAAGTATAAATTGACTTTTAAAATGAAATATTCCTTTAAATATTAAATCGTTTATAAATTACGATATATATTTAGATTCTTAAAGTGTGTACTAACCTGTAATTAAACATACATGAAACTTAAAATATTAAACTAAATTTAACTAACAATTTTAACACGGTAAACACACTTCACATATTGGTATAAAACAAACATAGTTATTTACACCAATCAGTGGGCGGACTCGTGGGCGGGCATGAGCTGCGGGGTTAGGGTAAAATATATTAAAAACATCCTCAAACAGTCATTGCCGTTCGGGATTATGATCACCTGAGGCAGAGTCGGGCATTGATCTTTTCCTCTCCCCTGAAATATTATAACCAGGACTTTGATACGCAGGTGGGTGAAGTTCTAAATATAAATACACGTTCATGTCTACAAATCGTAAATTGAGGATAAATGCGATATCAAATAATAGTTGATCGCGTGTTGAATTATCACATGTAAATATCGTAAAATAAAGATACTCAGGTGTTATCATAAGCCAATAATATCGTAACACCAACAGAGGTCATACGTCTAGGAATCCATTTATGATCGTCTCGGAGCAGCCAGTCAGCCAACCGACATTACTCTGTGCTAGATAGGCTACAGTGTTATGCAGTAGACCCGTGTGTGTCTGTGTGAGGTACTCTGAGAGGGATTGTACTTACTGATATAGTACTCCTGAGCAGGGTCGATCCTGATTGGCGTGCAGAAGTAAGTCTCAGCCTGCAAGAAGAAAAAAAACATTAATTCTGATCATTATCGAGAAATTTGGGCTAAGATCCTAACAAAAAAAAACACAAAAAACCTCCATACCAACTTACGGTTCCCCCAAAACACTGCTATAAACATAAAAAAAAAAAAGATATTCTATTTTAATTTGATATGTTTGAACCTGGTTTTATGAGCATATGAAGTACGGTAGTGAGCGACACGAGAGAGGACACAAGGGTTCCCGGAGTGGCTAGCCGTAGGTGGAAGTACGTACAACAGGTTTAACCAGAGGAGAATAACGTCACAAGGGTGGTGGTGTGAGGGAGGGCACCAGGGTTATGGTGTGCAGGCATATAATGTTACACACACACACACACACACACACTATAGTGAGTGTGAGGGAAGCAAGTCAACAGGGAGCCCAAAATGTCATAATTAACTTTGGTGTACAGGTGCTGTTTTTCATGCCCATGCAAGCCGTCACTGGCAGGTGTACACAGTCTCTCGCACATGTGTACTGTCACCAGCACGTGTATACAGTCACCAGGAAGTATACACAGTCACCAGTCATATATCAGAAAATCGTTTGTACAAAGTGAACCAAATATGTCTCAGGTGATGGCTTTATTATTATTATTATTATTTCTGCTGTTGTTGAAGAGATACTAGCGTGCCTCTAGCCTTAACAGTCGCTAGTTCGTGCTTTAAAATATGAATGAGTACCTTACTTCACACTTGGGGCTGTGAGAGCAGTCGAGTGCAGTACCTACCGGCCTAGTGTATCGCTAGGCCTATGGAATTCACTTCAATTATTTGTTTTTTTATCATTTACCATATTATTATCATTGTTGATATTGTTGCTATTTCTCGTTATAATTTTTTTATTTGTTTTCATTATTATCGTTTACCTGCACTATCATATTTGTTTTAATCAGTCATAGAGAATAATTGATTTTTTCCAAGTAATGTTTCACCACCTCCCGTTTTCTAAGAATGTCTTTCAAATGCCCTTCCCATGTCCGGCGTGTCTGCCCTCACCACACTTACCTGAGGGAAAGTCTCAGGTTAACGAACAGCTATTACAGGTGTTCTTGGCTTTAGATTCTTCACCCATCACATAACCTATAACTTAGGCACGTAATAGGAATTTGATTTTCTAGGCCACAAGACTCGCCTCTCTACCTACCCCCTCCACTCCTTTCTCTCTCACTTACTCTCATAGTCAACTCGGGATGTTACTGACCTGCATAACAACACCTCTATCTCGTGTGACCTCATAAGCTCAGAGAACACCAGGTAACTTCACTAACCCTGTACACTATCCAGAATCAATTCATCACAGTAACTCTAAGACAAGATTCTATATAAATATACATCAATTAACCAAATATAGTAGTTTATTTATTTTTTTAACATAAAGATGAGTTACGTAGTGTGGAGGTATTAGGTAGTGTGGAGTGAAAGGAATCGATTGGTATTGAGGGACACGACAATATGTGGGTCACAGTTTGTTTCTTGATCATTGACTGCATAGACGATGGAGATCTCTATACCTAAGGAGACTCTCATACGATCACAGAGGAGTATACTGTTTATCTACCTGACTATCACCTTTGAGTTAGTGACTATATAATCAACCAATTAACATAGATGAAAGAATAACTAACTAACACAGATAACTAAACTAATCACCAAACTTTATAAAATAACGAATAAAAGAAGGTTGACACGTGAGGTAGGACACATCTGAGCAGGTGAAGGTTACACACTTGATTCATTGTTGAGGTGGATCACGCTTGACTATGTAAAGTTTGAATAATTTTAACATGTTTCTTAGATCCCCCCTGTTGGACACCTCACTGGGACTCAATTACTAAAGAGAGTATTTAGCTTTGACTGAACAACCAATGACGTCAACCAATAAGATGTTAACAATTTCACCATAAAGCAAAGTACCTTCTGCTGGATGTGATTGTAACCTCTAATAACACACAGAGCTCTTGCTAACTTTATTATATATTGTATATTCATTTCTTTATTAAAATATAATTCTTTTATGATGTGTTTATATTGTGTCACCAAAATTATTGAAATATTAAAATCTACAAACATTATCTTCCCATCTATCGATTTACAGTAAAGGAATTTTTACGACTTGTAGTATTTTTTTTGTACATAATTTAAATCACACTTAGATTTACAGAGTAAACTGTATGTGTAAACAAGTAAAACTGTGTCGATCAGAGGCTTAAACCTGTTATAAATTATGTTGACAGTGTTATATTTTGTGTCGTCATAAACACACACACACACACAGGTAAACATAGAGAAGATGAATAAACGTTAGTGAAGAAAACTGTACAGGTAGTTCACCTTTAAATACTTTAATTACCCCCGTGTCTCAGCTTCTGGGCGCTGGGAAGACGAGACAAAAGAGACTGGCTGAGGGCGTTGAGGGCACTAGAGCGCTGCTGTAGGTGTGTGGAACAAAGTAAAGGTTGCTGCTGAGAACTCGTTTAAGAGATCTGGGCGAGGTGCTGTCTGCTGCTTCTGTCGGATTACTACAGCCCGCTGACAACATGGGCGACATCTGTTTTATCACTTTATTGTCTTGAGATTGTTTCATGTCAAATATTCAACCATCAAGGGTGTTATTAAGGTATTAGAGAGAGAGAGAGAGAGAGAGGGGTAACGAACCTAGAGAGACTCTGACTTAAGCACGACGTTAGGGTTTGAAAATGTTTATTCATATAAATATTCAATAGATCTTGGAGTCACTACCGTATGCTATGATCCCAGCCTAATAGTATGTAGTTCAGCTCGTTAATGTTTTGTCTCGGCAAGTTATATAATTGGTTGGTGCTGCTGTTAGTATCGTAGAGTGGCGAGACTTGAACTGTCCTGAGGGCGCTGACAGACTGTGTGGGGGCGTCAACCTCCTCCACGTCACCAAAATCCACAGGAAAGTAAGGTTGAACTATGAGCAATGAGCATTATAAAGCTTACATTTCCTTACCTCTCATAAGAGTTCAAAACCCAAGGGGGAGAAGAGGAGCCCCCTTCCCCCTATACACACGGCTGGACATACTTAAAAACCCTTCAATTTATCTCAGTTGATTACCATAACAGTTCCTTTGTTTCATTAACAACCGAGACTGTAAGGTAAACACTGTTGGCTAAGAGGAACGAGCGCAAACACGAACAGGAAGTTGGGTTGTGTAGGAGGGCAGAGAGAGCCTGAGGGAGGAGCTGGAGGCGAGGTGGCTGACGAGGAGGTGGTGGTGGTATTGGCGGTACCTCGAGGCAGTGGTAACAACATTACCGTACGGTGTATCGGGCAGGTCGTCGCCCTTCTTACAGTGTTAGGATCCCTTTGTGTTGGCCTCCATATGTTTATACACAGAGCTACATGACTGCGTGTGCTTGTAGTATTGTCGGTGTAGTAATATAGTATATGTTACCTGTCTGAAGCCCTCTGTTAGTAAGTACAACATAACAACAGACCCCCTAAACAGACTAAACACCAGGAGAGACAGACGGATATAATGGGAGGGGGAAAAGACTAGGTGAGACTAAACTAAAGTGTATAAAATTAATATAATGTCAAAACTATAAGTAATATGGCAAAGTGGAGGATATATTACAAGAGTGGATCAAGAGGTGGAGGAGGAGGGAGGACCTTTGACTGGATCCTACAAGATAAGAAAAAACAAGCCTTGGGTAACAGCTGGAAAGATGAAGTTAGGAAGACGTTCACAAGGATATGGAAAAAGATTCAAAACTAATGACTGTAGAAGTGTGTATTAAAGGTCTAGTGATACAGGTGAGTGAATGATGATTGATGATGAATGATGATGATGATGATGATTGATGATGATGATGATGATTGATGATGATGATGATGATAACAGATATTGATAAGTACATCATCCCTATAAGGGCACGTTATCTCTCAGTGTTTGGTATCTCTCTTTCTCTTACTGCTTTGAGAGACAAGTTACATAAAGCCTGACAGTTTCTTGACCTCCCTACAAGGAAAACAGATGATGAGTATTAACCTCTGCTCTTGAAACTCCCTATTGTGGGTTAAGTGGTGAGAGCGCCTTGGGTAGTGAGTCGAGAACCTGGTGAATTGGTGTCATTACCGTACACACACACACACATACACCCAAACACACACACACACACACACTACTGTTGTTTCGATACAGCAGAATCAATCACCTCCCCCATTGGTTGAATTCTGGTCACGTGCTTTATCGTAAACAATAGCACGTATTCCTACCCCCCTCCTCCCCATCCTCAGTTCTCATTCCGTGACAAGTGTCGTGTGGGGTATAGTATATATGCTTGGTGTTACCTTCGTGTTACCTCCGTGTTACCTGCGTGTTACCTGCTTGTTACCTCCGTGTTACCTGCGTGTTACCTGCTTGTTACCTGCGTGTTACCTGCGTGTTACCTGCTCTCAACACATCACCGCCATAATACCATTTATAATGCTCAACAGGTTCTAATATTCACTTGTCTATGTAAACTAGGGAGTATATTATTTTTACTTGTCATTTTGTGGAATTATTGTAGGTAATATTATTTAGTTTTCCAATCTTTACCTTCTCTGAGTCTAAGTGATCAACAGTGTACCTGATAATAGAGTAACTTTTACCGCCTCGAGGAAAGGAATAAGGTGATACTGCCTGCGTGTGTGTGTCTGTGTGTGTGTGTGTGTGTTAGGCCAGTTGTAAGGAATTATGTTAAGACAATTGTACTTTATTATTGTGGTGGTGGTGGTGGTGGTTGTTGTTGTTATGGTTTTGGTTATTGTTGTTGATGTAGTTGTTGTGGTGGTGATGGTTGTTGTTGTTGTTGTGGTGGTGGTGATGGTGGTTGTAGTTGTTGTGGTGATGGTGGATGTTGCCAGATCAGTTGGTTATCTCCTGCACTTTATACTTGTGATTAAAAAAAAAAACGGTTTATCCACAATAATAAAAGACAGTATTGGAACTATTTTTTTT